TACTGGCAAGCTGATCAAGCTACCTTACACCCATTTTCTGTTTATTACAACCTTAAATTTGAATGCTATTGTTTAATTTCTGACCATCTTTGTCATGACCAATCAGCAGTCCATTGTTTTTTCACAAAGTTGCTGCCTTTGGTCAAAATCAAACTACCCACAGTGAAAAAAAGTAAAATACTTCAGTGATGGTGTTGCGTTGCAGTATAAAAACTACAAATGTCTAATAAACTTAATTTATCACATTATAGATCACCAAATAAATGCTGAGCATCACTACTTTGCTACGTTACATGGCTAAAGTCCATGCGATGGAATAGGAGGTACTATAAAAAGAAGCAGCAAAATCTAGTTTACGAGCAGCAATTACAAATCAGATTCTCACACCACAAGATCTGTTTACATAGGCTCAAAAAAACATCAAAGGTGTTAACATATTTTATCTTTTAAGTGATGATGTCAATAACTATGAAACAACTTTTAACCTTCAGAAACAATATGAAGGGATGCGCACAGTTCCGGGAACAAGAAGCTATCACTGTTTTGCACCAGATGGAGAGAAATTGTTTTTACGAAGAATCTCTAGTGATACTGTCTATGATACTCATGTGTTAAATGATGTTAACTTGATTATAAAAAAATCCTTCAAATTTTCAACCTGGTAAATATATTGCATGCTTTTACGATGAAGAACGGTACATAGGGCTAGTGGTTGATATTTGTAATGAAAATCCAAGACATTAATGTGAGATTTACGCAAAGAAACAAATTAAATTTAAAATGGACAAACGATGCACGATCAAGTCAGTGTTGGGTTCTATTTGACAAGATAATATGTCAAATAAGTGTTCCATTGATTAAAAGTATAACTGCTCATGACTATATTCTTGCTTGTAATGACTATGACAGTATTATGAGTTATATAAATCAGAGATAAGCTAATTAGTTTCATGTATACATAATTTTTTTTCTCACTGAATGCACTTTTTTACTATATAGTTTGAATAAAATTTGAGGTATAAATTTTGTATAATTTTTGTATAAATGTGGTAAGGGGCATTTTTTGTTCTCCTTTTAAAAATATCATCACTCTCAAAAGGTTACAATCATGTTATAAGATAGAGTATAGGTTTTAAATTTTTTTTGGTGCTTGTCTATATATAGAAACTCAATATTAAAAAGTTCATAAATTATTTCACCTGTTTACGCTACTTTCTATGCCAGTAAAGTCGATGTAAGTATTCATAATTTAAAAAAAAAGTGATTTTTTAATAGGCTGCTGCATGTACTAAATTAATTTTTAATGCATAATTTTGATTATTCTAACAAATGGTGACCCTACACAAAAATAACAAAAAAGTCCACTTTCAGTAAGTAAGTATTAAACTGTAACAATAATTTAAAACAATATTTATAATATTGCAATATTTAGCAACTTTAAGTTACAATAACTCAAAAACTGTTAGAAAAAAAAGTCAAAAACAACTGAAACAATGGATCATTTGGGTGAAAAACTATTACCCTGCAAAATTTCAAGTGATCACCATCTTTATTTAAAAAGTTATGTATTGTCAAAAATCAAAAAAAACTGCTGTAAGTTCCTGATACACAAATTTTTGGGATTATGGTTATATTTAATTCAATCATAAATTTTGAACATATTGGTCAATCCAGCTGAAATTTTCTGGATTGTATTTTTTTCATAAGATCTGTGTGTGATCTAAGTTTAAAGCAAATCTGAGATGGTAACCTGGAGAACTTTCAAAAAACTAGGTGATTTGATATAGAATAACCCGAAAGTAAGACTCAGCCAAGCATTTATTAAATAGTTTATTAGCAACGAAAGCTGGAGTGACGTAATTGTCTTACAATGGGTTAACCTGTTTAATTAGAATGGAAGGAAAAAAATAGCTATAAGATTCCAGGGTCAAATTAGAAAAAAAGTTATTTGCAAATAGTTCTGCCTTATCCTTGGGAGAGGTAATAAGATCAGTCCCATGAATGAGAGGTTCAATGTTAGACCTTCCTTTGTTAACAACGCTGTTGAAGATTTTCCAAAAGTTTTAAGAGCCTAACTTCTGAGATAAGATGCAAGATTTAGTAAACTGTGAATAATGGAGCTTAGCATCAGACAGCACCTTTATTATATAGATTTCTTCCGATAATATATACTAATTTGCTCTCTAGAGAGTTGTTCACTAAAAAAGATTAAAAAAATGATTATGATTAGATATAGTAGCAGCACAAGAAGGTTAAAAGCATGGAGTAGAATGAGGCTTGACTTGTAACCAACGAGAAAAAAATAAAAGCTTCCATTCCAACCTGAATCCAGGAGGTTACGTAGGAGGGGCATTTATCAACTGAGAAAGAAAAGACATCAACCTAAGGAACACCACGAAGAAAATCACGAAAAGAATCCCAGTCAGTTTAAGGGTAGTAATAAGTAGTGCAATGATAAGGTGAGTCTGAAAAGGAAGTACAAGATGAAAGATTTAAAGAGATCAATGGATAGTCAGAACCACCTAAAGGAGAAACTGAACACAAGCTAGGATCAGAGACAAGAAATAAATCAAGGAGTGAAGGTAAATGCTTAAGGTTGTCAGGAAAACAAGTCACAAAGTTGACTATCTGAGAAAGAGATAGAGAAATGCACAAGTTATAGGCTTTAGTGCCAGCAGGGTTAATGGTGTTAAAGCCGTGCCATTCAGTGCAATCAACAATAGTCACCAATAGCAACAATAATGATAGAGGGTTAAAAAGAGAGGGCATGGTCCATTTGATGAGAAAGTACAACTAAAAAGCAGGAAAATAATAAAGATCAAAGAGAAAGATGATAGAATGAAGAGGAGCTAAGCGGAAGCACATAAAAGAATGGTAGAAGGATCCAAACCTGATTTCATGACAAATAGGTGAATTAATGCGTATGTATACCCCTAAGCCAAGCATGTAACTATTTGAATCTTTGCCAATTAAAGGATACTACCCATCAACACTGAGATCTGATGAAGGAATAGCAGAATTTAATAGTCTCACTAAGAGCAAGCAAGTCTGGGTGTATTTTGCAGGAGATTAGATTCAACTGATGAACGGTTGCTGCACAAACCAAAATTTTTGTAAAACTTACATTAAAACAGTTAGGTGATGAGGATGGTTTTTTATGTTTAATATTTTGGGTTACTTTTGGCATGATATAAGTTAAGAGAACTTGACTTATTTATAAATAGAGCACAGTCTCCTAAGTAATGAGCTATGCAATTGTCTGAGTCCTGTTAATTCACTTTAAGTCGTAATATAGGGCTCCTTGTGTGACTCCAACAATGCCCATCAAAAGCATTTGATGCGCATTGAGAAACCTTACTATCAGCCGGCCTCATTTGGAGATAACAGGAAGAATAGCATAGCCACCATCAAGGAGACACAAAGAAAAAACTATGAGTAGAAAAAAGAAGATTCAGTATTCTTCACACTAGACAGGAAATAATATAACACAGGTTTACATCTATGCCAGCCTTATAGTTGAAGAAGAGGTTTGAGGCTGGTTAGCAAAATTATTCTGCATACCACGGAGTTCACATCTTTTAACTTATAAAACATTTCATTAATAATGAAGTTTTATAAAAATATCAAGTTTTAAATAGATAAAATAAAAAATAAAATAAAATAGAAAATTTATTAATTAAAAAAAAGTAAATTAAAAATTTTTTTTTTATTTTTATACAACTTTCTTTTTCTTTTTTTTAGAGTTGCTGTTGAAAAAAAAACTTTTATAACGATTTAACAACATTGAAAGTTTTGATATGCAATTCATTTACGATTTTTACCAGTTCACAATTAAGAAACTAACTTGCTATGTTCGCTAGAACTATAGAAAAGTTCTAGCGAACATAGAAAATTGTTTCGCTAGAATATAGAAAGTTTTAACTATAGAAAGTTTTGTTCGCTAGAACTATAGAAAATTTTGTTCTTATGTTTATTTGTTTATTACATTTACTCATTTTTATGTCTTTTCGCTTTTAAAAACGTTTTTGCTATATTTGACGCATTTTCTCAATACTTATATAATAGAAAAATAAGAAAATAAATTGTTATTTATTTGTAAAAAACATTTGATTAATAAATTTTGTTAATGACGGACTAAGTTAAATAAAAGAATAACTTCTGTAATAAATATATTTACCGCATTTGATGCATGTATGAAATTGTTTTATATTGCCCAATTTCCAATGTTAATACAATTTACTACAGATAATGAAGATAACAATTTCTCTGTTTAAAAAAATGTATTTAAAAACTTAAACAAAAATTTTGTTAAGAAAGTTCAGTAAATTAACAATGCACTAGCCCACAAAATTTTACAGCATCGTTTCGTTTTTTTACATAAAAAAATTGTTTAAAAAAATAAAAATTTTCACAAATAAATAGCAATTAGTTTTCTCGCTTTCCTGTCCATTGATGAAAACAGTAAAGTTTAGCCAAGATATTTGAAAAACAAATTTAAAAACAATTTATAAAGTATTTCCTTTATATACTGACTGAAAAAAGTTGTGAAAAATTATAAATCAAAAAATATTTTTATTTTTGTTATATTCTTATCTACTTTAAGTATGCTATCTACAGTAAGTATGCCATTTTTTTGACAACTATTTTCTTTTTTTTATTAATAATTTTTTTAGCTTGTTTTATTTAGATTTTCTATTTTGTATAGTCTTCGGTTCTTTTCCTCGAGTATTGCACGCCCTTCCCAGGAAGGCTTTATATATATACATATACATATATATATATATATATATATATATATATATATATATATATATATATATATATATATATATATATATATATATATATATATATAACCATGTTAAATATATATATGCATATATATTTAACATGGTTTACTAGATTGCCTTAATAAGATAATACTATTATATTAAAATAATGAGAAAATTATCAGCTGCACATATTTACAAAAAATTCTTTACAAATGAAAAATTACTTACTTGGGCCATAGTTCTGTTTACCGCTTGTGACATCAAAAACTTTACCATTAACAGCAATTAAAATTCTTGGATCATTGATACCATTGTAATGTCTGAGCTCTGTAACAGTAAAATCTCTTTTTGGCATAGGAGGCAGTTCTTCATGTTTTGATACAAATTCATCATCTTCAGGCTTTTTAGTTAGTAAAATTTTTATTATAACCAAAACAACACCTATTAGTAAACCAACTAATACAGGCAATGTTATGTAGTCGGATAAAGATGACAAAAATGTAGACATTATATCATTTAGATAACTAAAAACAAATTTAAAATTAAAATTTTAATTTATAACTTAAATACAAATTCAAACTGTTCTAATTTTATAGTATAACTTATTAACTCTAAATAAGTAAATGAAACTCTGGTGGTTTCGTTAAAAACTTAAAACACTAAAATAATGCTAGATTTTGTTTTACTAACTCTAGCCATAAAAAAAATAGAATTTTCTACATAACTCATTATTTTATAGTTTATACAAGTTTTTTATATTTTGTGCATATTTTATAGTATATACATACCAGAGCTGGAAAGAAGTGCAACTTAATGAACACTTCCACTACATGCAGACAAATATATATATGTATATATATGTATATATATATATGTATATATATATATATATATATATATATATATATATATATATATATATATATATATATATATATATATATATTACAATTTTTAATATTTAGATATAAAATGTAATTTTTAGATATAAAAAAATCAATTTTAATTGTTAGATATAAAAAAAATCTTGAAGTAGACTAGATGCGAAATTTGTGCATTTGTTTTAAAATTAGAAAAAGCAGCAGACGATACATACATAATATTTTTGTTAACAATGGCTCAAATTTATGAGCCTAACTATTATTAATTTTAATTAATAAACAGTATGTTATCATACATAATCTAATAAAAATTTGCAATTTTATTCAATAAAAAAGTATTATAAGGTTATAAAATTTTATTCAAAATTTTATGTCTATTTTTAATTATCACAAATAATTTTAAGCCTAGTGTACTGGTTTTGGTTTTTGACCTTAACTGTCTTGCACTTTCTTGATCTATACAAAACTGGCTACACCCATCACAATGGATAGATTAATTAATTATAAATTGTTACTACTTGGAATAACATGTTATTTAAGTTATGAAATCAAGTGATACATAGATATGTTTTACTTCTTACAAAAAGTACTTAAATTGTAAATTAAAATGTAAACTTTACCTTGAATTTTTTTCTTTTTTTGTAACTATAGTATATGGCTACTATAGTTATAAAAAAAAGCATGTCAGCTATTCTTAGTTTTATAGTGTGATAATCATGTGTCATTTTTTATTGGTGCATTTTGCTTTTAACAATACAAGAAACCTGTTAGTTTTCTGTTATTATTAAAGATGTAGACTGCAACAGTGCACTGCACAATCTGCAATAACATAATCATATTATACATGCAAAATTACCTTTTATTATAAAGTAATGTGTATAAATGATAAAATGATAATCAGCTAAAGGCCTTATTGTATACATACATGTGTGAGCATAAGTCTTATTGTATTAAACTTCTAAGAATCTAAGTTTTAATCTTGGTCTTGTGAGTATTTTCAAAGCCTTGGTTTTGGGTTAACTTTTTGATGTCTTCGTCTTGGTATTGAGTCATAATGTCTTGGTCTTAGTCTCGGTCTTAGGTTTTACTGTTTTGATTACATCTCTGTATAGCAGAGACATTTCATTCAACAATGTTGCTTTTTTTTTCTGGTTAACTTTAAGTCTTTGCAGCACCCCAATAATCAAACTGAAAAATCAAGGTATGTTAGCATAAGAGGACTTACAAAGAGCACATTACAATTTTAACTGATGTAAAACTATATTTATATTGTATATTGTGCAAAATTTATGTTTTAAATTACAGATCATTGTCATAGTTATGCTTTATTGATAATATTAAGGTTACATTTTATAACCTCTATGTTTTAATTTTCAGCCTTTTGTATTTCCTATACAGCCCTCGGAATTAGGGTCTGCATTTGGCAATGCCTACCTAACTGCCGACCTGAAGGTATTTGAGCTTGGCAAAAAATTGCCGACCTTGTTTCTATGTTTTATGGTAAGACCTTTGTATCAATTTATTTTGCCAACCTCGTGTTTTTTATAGTACTTAGTATAAAATATAAACATAGTAAATCTTCATTTTAAACAAAAATTCTAAAAGAAAGATTAAAATGCAAAACGTGAGGTACGTTTTTAATTTTTTTTTTAAGTTTTTGTAACTTCACTTAAAACATCACTAAAAAATATATGGAAACAGTTTTATAAAACAGGTGATAATTTTTATTATGTAAAAAAATTAATTCATACTTTCTGTGAAATTAAATTGTATATGCAATAAACTTTTTTACTCAGTAATGTATTCTTTAGTCCTTAATGCAAGGGGATAGGAATAAAAGGGGAGGGGGGATTTAAATCTAGCATGCAAAAAACTATTTAAATCTAGCATGGCTTGCGGTCAAATGAGCATTTTCTAACAGCTGTTTTATTATAATTTCAATAGGATTTAATATGTTGATATAAGTTTTATACTTTGGTGAGAAATAAATTAGAAGCTACTTTTCGATAAATCAAGATTTACTTATTGGTGATTTGTTTTTATCAGTGACTAAAGTAATTATTTTCTAATTTTTAAGGCAGATTTTCACTGATTTATCTTTTTTGATAACAAGTTTTTTGATAACAAGATAATAAGTTTTTTGATAACAAAATTAATAAACATTGGGGGGGGGGGGCATTAGTAAGCTTGAGATTGGTGGGAAAACCTTCCAAAAATTAATTAACGTCCCCCCCCCCTTTTTTTTATCAGGGACTTGAGAGTATGTGATTTAAAAAAATACACTGAAGCAGTAAAAGTACACATTTAAAAAACTACTCACAAAAAAACTACTCAATTACAGTAACGCAGTTACGGTAAAGTCAATGTAATTTTTTACTTTCCACCTCTGCATGAGAGGTAAGCATACTAAGTGAGTACAAGTGGCTGAATTCAAAAATAAATTAATTCACTTCACAAATTTATGTAGTGGATAGAATAAAGTAATTCATGAATCAATTTATAAAGTAAATTACTTTAATTTGGAATTCTGATGAAATCAAAATTTCCTGACAGATGGTAGTCACTATTGTAGATCTTCAAGCAACAGGCATCAAATTAATCAAATTAATTACATAGCATCAAACTTGAACATAAAAAAGATGTATCAGTTGTACATCAAAAATAGTAGTGAGTAAAAAATAAATAAAAAATTTAAAAATTACATCCCTCTAACTTAAATCACACCTGTTGCAAATAAAGTTTTACGCAAATGAAATATTTCAGAGAGCCTATCTAAAGCCACCTGAAAAGTATAGTAGAAAAAATAACAAGGAAATTCTAAAAAACATTATGTTTTGTTTACCTAAGCCAGGCATATTTAACCTAATTCCTTTAAAAATTAGTTATATTATTAGAAATAATAAACAAACATTATGGTACAATATTGTCAAAAATTCTCTTATATTTTCCATTGGGAGAGTGGACAAAACAATTTTTTCAAAACCGAAAAAAACATCATTTAGAACCCTTTAAATCTCATGCAACAATATCTTTTCGGTTTTCCTCGCATGTTGTAGAATAAAAAAATAAAAAACATTCAGATTGTTTTTTTTTTTTCTAGTCCATTAATTTGCATTTTTGTGATTTTTAAAAAAATGATAAATTTAATTAGTTTCCTCAATTAAATCAATTGGTTTTGCCATAAACTGTACTTAATTGTCTTGTTACATGTCATAGAGTAGTTAAGAGCCATTTTTTACCATAAATGGTAAGTTTAGATGTCAAACTGTATATATATATTATATAATTTTTTTTCACTAATACTGTTTTTTTATTTTTTCAATCAAAACATAAAATTTTGTTTTCAATGACTTTATGTAAGGGAAACGTTTTATTAATATAATATATTTATTTTGCTAACATCTATTTTAATAGTTTTCCTTAACAGTTGTTTTTTATTCCACAATCAAGTTTAATATCTATATGCACACTAAAATATATATCCTGATTTATAAAGCAGGTTACAACAAGGAAAGGCATTCAAGGGATGGACCCTTAAAATGGCTACAATTTTTAAAATATATATTGTTTTTATAATTCTCTTTTTTCGCAGACCCAAATTCATTCTTCCTTTTTTACAAAAGGTAGTAAAAATGTAGAATAGCCAATGTATATACTGAAGATCTAACAGCTCCCTCAAACAGTATAACATTAGATTGCTGATGAAAATGTGCTTTTATCTCTCTCTCTCTCTCTCTCTCTCTCTCTCTCTCTCTCTCTCTCTCTTTCTCTATGTAATAAATATATATATATATATATATATATATATATATATATATATATATATATATATATATATATATATATATATATATATATACAAATATATATAAATATATATTATATATATTTATATATAATATATATATATATATATATATATATATATATATATATATATATATACAAATATATATAAATATATATTATATATATTTATATATAATATATATATATATATATATATATATATATATATAATATATATTATATATATATTATATATATATTGAGAGAGAGAGAGAGATAAAAGCACATTTTCATCAGCAATCTAATGTCATACTGTTTGAGGGAGCTGTTAGATCTTCAGTATATACATTGGCTATTCTACATTTTTTTCTACTTTTTATAATATATATAAATATATTTATATATATAATATATAAATATAACATAAATATATAATATACATATAATATATACATATATATATATATATATATATATATATATATATATATATATATATATATATATATATATATATATATATATATATATATATATATATATATATATATATATATATATATATATATATATATACATATATATATAATAAAAATATATATGAAACACCAAACAGAATCTTAAAAAGACTTTATTATTTTATATTTATTATTTCTTTAATTGTGTGTACGTTTCTTTACCTGCTTATTACGTAATTTCAAGTATCTTGTCACAATGCTTTGCTCCCTATAAATATAGATCTAAATTAGCTTTAAAAGTATGAAGAATAATATAAAATCAAAAAACTTTAGCATAATAGTATGACAAGTTGTTATATAATGATTAAATAAATAGTAAGTTTCGATACAAATTGTTTTTAAAAAACCATTAACGAAGAAATTAAACACCCGGATTACTGCACCACGTTCTCAGAACATGCCGCCGTAAAAATTTTGGTGTTTTGCTAGCTTTTTGTTCCGCTTGCTACCGTGTGCAAAAAGTTTTCTTTAAAAATTAAAACATTTTAATTGACTTCGTCCCCTATCAAATTTTAAAACTTATTTTATATTAAATTATTTGCTAGATTAAACTGAATAAATAAAATTCATAGCCAATTACATTCTAGTCGTATAATTAATGTAGAATAAAACTTTAAGTATTACTCTCGAGTCCCTAATACAAGGAGGGAGGACATGTATTAATTTTTGGAAAATTTTCCTACCCACCCCAAGCTTATTTAGACTCCCCCCCTCCTTTCCTCCTGTTTATTAATTTTTACTTGCTATCAAAAAAAGGTGAAAATCGCCCTTAAAAATTAGAAAATATTTATTAAAGTCACTGATAAAAACAATATTTTTCAGTGTTAACAGGCTTTAAATATCACCAACCAAGTAAATTCCGATTTATTGAAAATGAGTTTTTAATTTATTACTTTTGAAATTATTACAAAACAGCAGTTAGAAAATGCTCATTTGACCGCATGCCACGCCAAAATTTAAATAGTTTTGCGTTTGTATGAAATGCGTGTTTTGTAAAAAGTATTAGTTTGGATTTATAAACTGAAATTTTTTATAAAAGATACTTATATTGTAACATAAAAAATTCCCCTCTACCCACCCTTCTTTTATTAAATCACCTTCCCCCCCCCCTCCCCTCCCTTCCGTTTATTAAATCTGGACTAAAATTCCCACCCCCATTGTATTAAGGACTCGAGAGTATAAAATAATAAGAAATCTTGGTCTTTATGGTTTCAAAATTGAGTCATTTATTTTTAGTTTAATAATTATAACTTATTTGATTTTTAGAAATACGAGAACAAGTTGTCGTCAGTTAATTAAATACTGTTTAAAAGTATTAAGTGACGTAATATCTTTTATATCTTATTTAAGAAGTAAATTTTATAGTTGTGGCCATTAGAATAAAATAGTGTTACCCAATTTGTATTTTCTTTAAAGAGTCAATCAATATTTATTCATTTCAAATTTTTTTCAAAAATTGTTTCTCGGATTTTTATTGAATTGAGTCTCTTTATTTTAATGTAGTTGATGATTAGTTGAAGAACTGAAGTTATCAGCCCAGTCGGCATTTGGTCCTAAAAAGACATTTTTTGAATGTTCAAAAGACGATCAGAACGTTTTTTGACCGTTCATAAGACGTTTTTTTTGGACCAAATGCCGGCTGGAAGAGTTCGATGGTTTATTAAATAGAATATGTTTGGTTTTTATCATACTTAAAAAAAAGTTTATTAGCTTTGAATTACTTATTATTTTTTTATTTATTAATTTATTTAATTTGAATTTCATATTATATTTTGTTAGACAATGTTCTTATATCCGAAGATATGGTTGGAACAGTCGCAAGTAGTCATAGAGACTAATCCAATTAGCGATCATTTTAAATAGTAAAAGGAAATTTTATCGAATTTGCATAACAGAAAATTCAAGGTACAAGAATTTGTTTTGAAATTAGACGTCTCTCGTGAATTTTGTCTACAGGGTGCACTGAAAATCAAAACTTTTGCAAGACTTTTAGGTACATGATAAAAACATGACTCTTTCGTCATTAAAATTAAAAACTTAAGCAACTTTAACGCAAGCAGTCGTTGGTTATTTACCTCAGAAATATCTTGCTTTTGTCAATATCGATAGGATTAAGGGGGGTTCTTCGAAACACGAGAACGTGACACTAAATCCCGCATTTCATTTATTCCAAGAGGGCTAAAGATATCGGCTGCACTTATTGTAAAAACAAGCAGATCTAGTTGTAAAAAGTGTTTGAAGATGAGGTACTAACTAAAAAAGTATTACTAATGACAATGAGTATGTACCCAAGGCCGGCGCGATAGGTGTGTGTGTGTGTGGGAGGGGTGGACCCTTTAGACTAACTAGTCTAAAGGGTCCTATTTGCCGAACCCTTAGTCGGCATATTGGACCCTTTAGACTAGTTAGTCGGCAAATGTCGACCCTTTCGATACAGGTTAGTCGGTAATCTAGACAGTCGGCAAATGTCGTCCCCCCCCCCACGTGACACCTACTCGCGCCGGCCCTGTATGTACCTGTTAGGTATACAAACAACAATAAAAAGAAAAAGAAGAGAAAAAGTATATTGTAGTTATTGATGACTAATTATAATAAATAGATGCTACTAATTAGAAAACTGTTTTTCTTCTTTTCCAATTTTGCGCAATTATAATTTTTGCGCATTTTTTTTAAAAGACACTTTCGCACAGCTAAGAGCACATTATTGCACACTATGAATTAGAACTCTTTGTTGCTACTATTACTCTTATTTATCTAAAGTTGTTGCTTAAAAGTAAAAAGTAACTAAAAGCGACCATTAATTGCAGAATAAGCTCTTTTTTTTATGACCAATGATACAAAAATTTTTGCTGATTCAGAATAGTAGAGATCTAAAAATCTAAAGAAAGAACTCTTATTTGATGTTAAATTTTATAAACGGTATTAAAAAGGCTGGAAAATGTTGATTTCATTTTTTTTAAATAATCCGGAATGAAAAGTAAATAAATGTAATATAAATTTTAAAAAATCTAATAAGTTTTTCTTAAAAAAAATTTTGTTTTATTCATTGAGCTATGGCCAATAAGCAGAAATGACTGGAAAAAATAGTTGATTTTCTATTAAAAAAAGAAATACTCATTAAAAATTAAATCTATATTGTTTATTCATATGACCACCAAAAATAACTTTAAAAAATGCAAGCTGACTATCTCTTATTTGTTAAAATTTAAAATAACTATATTTATAAATTTGAATATATATATCTTGTTTAAGATTTAAATTAAAAAAAAAAAAAAAAAAAAACATTGAAATACTTTTTCTAAGGTGGATTAGGTATTGAATGAACAACCTCTTCACGTTTATAAAAACAAAAAATTTACTAAGCTTCAAGGATTTATATATCTAGTTTAAATATTTATTGCTTCAAGAAACATTCAGACTATTATCTTTTATTTGATTTACTAACAGACTTTTTAAAAAAATACTGACTCATGCCATAAAATCATACTCATACTTAAATGATAATACAACTTCTGAATACCCAAAGACACTCTTTTATATAAAAAATAAAAAATTCTTAAACGATAATACAACTTCTGAATACCCAAAGACACTCTTTTATATTAAAAATAAAAAATTCTTAAACGATAATACAACTTCTGAATACCCAAAGACACTCTTTTATATTAAAAATAAAAAATTCTTAAAGGCAGTTAAATTAAAAAAAAATAGTCTAAGACACTTCTTACAACAAGAAAGTATAAATTTAATTTATTAGAGGTAATCTTTGAATCCTAAGTTGGCACTTCATGTTTACAGTTTTAAAATGACAAAATAAATAAGTAGTTTAGTAACATACAATAAATTAGAAATACCTTAAAATCTTATTTTTAATAAGATTTTAAGGTATTTCTAATTTATAAAAAATAACAATTCAAAAAATGACTGGGTTTAGAACACTTTCTATGCTATGCTCAACTATATTAAATGTTCAAGGTGTTTTAAATGAAATCTTGTGTAAAAAATACCAAAAAACCAAACACAACTAATATGCAAAGAGCTACTATAGTAATATGTAACAATAATTTTTAAATATTAATCTTTGAATAAAAAACTAATACAATAAAATTTTTTTTTAAAAAAGTGTTAAAATAATTTGTTTAATTAAATAAATCAATAAGCTATATATATATATATATATATATATATATATATATATATATATATATATATATATACATATATATGTATATATATATATATATATATATATATATATACATATATATGTATATATATATATATATATATATATATATATATATATATATATATATATATATATATATATATATATATATGTTTAAAATATTCAAGAATAATGTAACTAATTTTACAGATTGTAATTACATGTTTTTTTTTTTTTAATTTTATAAGAAACTAATACAAATACTAATACTAGAAACAAATACTAGAAGCCCCTGATAAACCTTATGAAACTTTTAGTACTTTTTAATAACTAAATTATTTTTAAGAGTTTCAGGAATATTTCCTAATCTTTCACCTTCATATTGCATCAACATAACACAAAGTTAAAAAGTATTATTTACAATGGAACAACAGTTTATATGAGTATTTAATTTGCACAGGTAAACAAATGGAACTCCATTTGACTGCAAATGAACAATAACAAACTTAAGAAACTTTAAAAAATTTTTAAAATAAGATTAGGAAAATAATTCTTAAAATAAGAAACTTTCTAGTACTAGCCTGTTTAGCTAGTTTCATATATATATTTAAAAAAAAACATGTAATAATATTAATAAACTAGGTTTCTAAAGTACTTATCACTGTTTGGCTTCTATCTGCTTTCTTTCTTTTTTGTTCAACTTTTACAAATACAATTAAAATTAAACAAATAAGAAGAAGAAAAGCAATGCTTAAACAAACAATATGCACCTTTTTACCTTTAACAAGCCATCCACAATAAAACACAAAAGGAATGCTGTAAAAACGTCCTAACGTAATTGGAAAAACATATGAAGAGCTTTCTGATATTGGATAAGTAATTTCTGCTATGAGTGCAACTAACATTGGCCCAAAGGGAATAAAAAAAAAAGTGCTAATTATAAATAATGTAAAAGTTATTACTATACTGTTATATTGGACTAACGATTCTGTAAAAGCTACCCAAAACAATAAACTTGCAGTTGCTAAAAATATTGATATTTTTTTATAGGCTTGAGTTTTATCAAGTATTATACCAAACACAACACTTCCTAATATACCAATGAGAATTCCTCCAAAACCTAACCATCCTATTGCAATATACTGATTTTGGAATTTCCAAGATATAATTTCATTAACAAACACTGGTATAGCTATAAGTAAAACACTGTTTAGTGCATATGAATTTCCACATAGATGATAGTTTTTATCTTTAAAAAGTACTTTGTATTGTTCTTTTAACATATTTATTGTTAATTTATCAGCAGCTATTCTCTTAGCTTCAGATCTTGATGGAGGGTTTTTTGGCTTATCTTTAAAAAATATCATTATTAGTAAAAAAAGAAAGCAGCATAAAGCTGCTTGTGAATAAACTAACTGTTTGATTTTTTTGTTTATAAAAAACATATCAGTAACTGGGTTCACATTTTTTAGAAGTAATGCAGGTTGTAAAAATCCAACTGCAGCACCAGCATTTCCAAGAATAACACCAAGACTAGTACTTATAGCTTGCTCATGTTCGCTAAACCAAACAGCAGAAACTTCAGGTGCTAACTGTGGTAATATACTTGCAGCTATAGCTATTATGGTTTGACCAGTGACAAAGTATGGAAAACCATTGCGATTAGTTCCTCCTATTAGAAAAATTGCTCCAATTGCATTAACAGATGATGCCAAAACCATTGTACAACGTAAACCGACTCTAGAAGGCAAAAGAGATGCTGGAACTGCTAAAAAAACTTGCATTAAAGTAAAAGCATTAGATGACCACAAAAATATTTCTTGATCGATTTGGTAAAAAGCACAAATAATATCAGTAATTGTAAATAAACTTAACCATACCAATGTATTTGAAAATGCTGTAATGCTATATAATGCTAATATCAACCAGCGCCAAGAACATGTTTTTATAACCAGAATACTTTCATTTGAATATGTAATTAAAACCTTAATGTCACCATTAATGCTCATTTTTTCTTGAGATAATTAATGGTCTAATGCTTATCAAAAATAACTGTTTTAATGTCTTATTTACAAATATTTTGTATTTAACAAATTCAGAACAACTTTTGACGTTTTTCGAATGATTTAAAATAAGATTTTGAAAAAACTTGATAAAACGCAGATTGATTAACTTATTGTATTAGTATCAAAAAATTATGACTTCGTAATTCTGCGTTTTATTAAAAAGTAATAATAATTTAATACTATAAAATTAAATATTAAAAAATGAAAAGAAAGGTTTTTGATTATAAAAAACAAATATATAAATTGTAGATCATATGTTACCATAAAAAACTCTCTGGTTGCTTCCACAAGCAGTTTTTTTTATGGTATTATTTAAAATATTGCTGCATTTTGATACTCTTAAGCTTATCCATTTCAAAAAAGTAAAAAATTTAGTTTTTTTGAAATTTATAATTTTTAGATTGAAAATTAGTTTCGAATCTGATTTAAAACTTTCAAGATTAACATAGATGTGCAAATTTCTTTTTTGTTTTAAAATAGTATTTTTTTAGCCTTATTAGTTTTTTTATTGTACGCATACATTCAATACTTTTTATTTAATGTTAAATTGCCTATGTCAGTATCATAGCCTGTTAAATGTTAATTTTTACCAATGTTTTCATATAGGTTTTCAAAAGCTCAAAAAAAATTTACTTCTTGTGTAGTTATGTCAACCACACTGTACTACATACAACACTTAACTATCGCGACCCAAAAACAGAAAGATTCCAACAAACACCAACATGAAACCGAGATAATGGGCTTCAAAGTTTCAAATCAATAATACTTTCTTTCAATTCATAATTTCTCATTTAAAAGTACTTTTTTTTCGTTTAAATAAAAGTTAGATAACCATTTTTTAATTAAAAAACTTTGTATAAAAATGAACAACGTAAAAAAAGTGTGTATATTTGTTGGTTTGGAACTTTATTGCTTTAAGACCTTAATAATATGGGAGCAACAAGGTTCCAAACTCCATTAGAGACATACTGTTCTCAGATTTTAACACACACCCTAAAATCTTTAAAATTATTTACTTGCATTTGAATAATGCAAAATGGCTCTTTTTTATTTGTCCCCTTTAATAATTGAATAGAAATAATTGGTGAACAAAATTCATTGGCTTTCATAATTTGTCCAATTTGGCTCTAAACATTGTCCATTTCTTGTGTTCCTAAATGACCAGAAGTCAAATATTCTATTGTGACTTTTTCCACTTCAGTATAACTTTTCAAAAAATCCAACACGGCATAAGATATAATGCTGTTCCTGTTTTTCGGGACACACGAGTTACGCCATGTGATTAATTCAGTGAAATCATTTTTTCCAACTATTTTTAAAATATTATTTAACAAGTGCTTGACAAACTGTTTGCGGTTTTTGCTTGAAGATGCTTCCGCCAATAAAACACAATATTTTGTTTTTGTCGTGAGAAAATATCCCGTCAAATTGTACATGCTAAGTTTTCTTTGATAATAGAAGAAGCCCACTCCAGCTCATGGACACGTTATAAAATTTTGCAAACCATACATTAAAAGAATTTCCAAAATTTTATCTTTATTTTTTTCCTCTCCCATTAAGTTTTTTTGGTGAACATGTTCTGTTACTTTGCTTGGTCAATGCTCTCTGGGTTAGATTTTTCTAACAACTTTCAAGTATCACATCTGCCGCTTTTCGGGATATAGAAAGTAATATTAAATTTGTTATTGAAAATGTAGGCATACATGAAAAGATATACTGGCTGTTTTCCGGCAAATTTGCATTGTTTTTCATTTATCTCAAACATTTTGTGGATGCTCACACTTAATTCTCAACTTTCCTTAACGTTTTATCTCAGCAATAATGTGAACTGACTTGATAAAACGAGTAAATACCCGTCGGGCATTTTTTTTAAAAGTTACGTTCTAAATGTGTTTTAAACGTCTTTTAAACGTCTTTTAAACAATAATGTTTAAAAGACGTTTAAAAGACATTTAAAATACATTTAGATCGTAACTTTTAAAAACAAATGCCCGTCGGGTATGCTTCCTGACCATGTCCTTTTTTTCTGAAATAGTACTGTGTTACTTTTTTCCTCGACTGTCTGGCTTAAAGATATTTGTTTTGAAGCAATTAATTTAAGCTCAACGGCTTCACCTAAACCTTACCTTTAATTAGCTTCATTTTCAACGTTTGAAGAGTTATCTGGATCATTTTTTTTCCATGACATTACCAATTTCTATCTGAAGTTAAAATAAAACGTTAATAGTGATTGTTTCAATAAAGTTTTGATGAAATGTTAGATGTACCTATCAAATAGATTACAAACAAACCTAAATTAGTCAACGCATGCTCTATATTGTGCTTTTTGACCCCTCTCTCTTTATATCTACACTAATAACACCTGTACCTAAGAGAATATATCATTAACAATTTCAATGCAGTAAAATAAAGTTCTTATCATAAGAGTTTTGCATCTAATAGTGTTAAATGACATAAAGTTACAAATTCTATTATACGTTATCTTTTAAGTCTTAATGAAAACACAGAAAGAAGAGAGATAGGATGTTAGTTAAAAATAGTAAGACAGTCACTTTTTTTGGAAACCAAGTAAATTTTTGCCGATTTTATCTTATCTTGAAATATACTATTTTGAAATGAAGAAGCTATTAAATTTAATATTATTTATTTATATAATAATATATTTATAACTATTATATTTATATATTTATAATTATTATAATTATATATTTATAATAATATATTTACAAATATAATTATAAATAAAAAAAGCTATTAAATATAAGGTTTACTTATGCTATCCATAACATAGATTGCTACAATACTGATAGTAGTGTCACATCGGCGTTTCTAATTACTTATGCTATCCATAACATAGGTTGCTACACAACTAATAATATTGTCATTTATATATGTTTAATTAAATTTAAGCTCAGTTTCTCTGTAAACTTAAAATTTATGTTTTTATCACGTGTATTTGCCTACAAATACATATGATAAAAAGATAATGAAAACAAACACTACAAAACATATTAGTCAAAAAGTTTTTAAATTTTAAAATATAGATCAGTAACGCTGATCAAAGGATCTTATTTTTTTCATAAAAACTATTTTTCAATTAAAAAAAAAATTTTCTTTAATATTCATAAAAGGTTTTTTCTAAAATACAAAGATTCATGGTATCAAATGGAAAATCCGAAGCAGCAACAGAAATAACATTTTGTTCAATAACTGTATGTAAAAAATGTTGTTATTTTAAAAGCGTTTTTTAAATAATGTTTATGAGTCTTTTTATTTAACAGGTCAACTGGCATAAAGATTTGTGGCTTTTTGTATGTTCAACTGCCATCAATAGCTGTAATAAAATTTGAAATTTGGTATTAAATACACTTTATGCCCCAATCCCCTTTCATTAATTTTTAATTAGTATGCACAATGTATATTAATATATACAACTTAAAGTGGTACGATTATAAAGAAATATTCAGCATGCTAATTTAATGTTATATTTTTCTGGTATAAAACTGAAAAGGAAACACACAAACAAAAGAAAAAAGAAACACACAAACAAAATATTTATTTTTTAAAAGGTTAGATAAAAGTTGCTCGTAATTAACCCTTTTTAGACCTCAAAAAAAAAGTATTCTGTTAAAAAATAAATTTCGAACAAAAAATATTTAAAGTCCTAAAATTGTTATTGTAAATCATACTGTAAATGTTTTACATATAATGCTTTTACATATAATGCTTTGAATTTTAACTAACGTAAAAAGAGGTGCAAATTTTTCAAAATAACTCATATAATTTTTTTTTTTTTTTTTCAGCACGTAAACAATCATATTAGAAGCAGTTATGTAAATTTTGAAAGGCTATTGGTAGAGTACATAATTTATAATCTTCGGCAGAAAATTCAAAAAATAACAATTCATAAAAACAGTAGATAAAGAAAAATTAACAAAAATATTATATAAAAAATTTCTTAAAATGGCTCAAAACACTCCTTTACCATAAACTTCATCCTCTTCTTTGTTATTCTTATCCTTGAAGCCATTTTTGTTCGCTCTTAACTTTTTTCTTTGTCTTTTTACTGCTTTACTTTACTTTTTATTTACTTGATTAATACGAAACTTATCTATTATTATTAACTTTTATTTCACTGATTAAACAATATTTTATATATTGTTTAATCAGTGAAATAAAATATATTTATATATATATATATATATATAAAAATATATTTATATATATAAATATATATATATATATATATATATATATATATATATATATATATATATATATATATATATATATATATATATATATATATATATATATATATATACTGTTATAATCAGCCAGGGACTCAAAAAAACACTTTAATTTATAAAGTAAAATGAAAATTTAATAAAACAAAGCTCTTTTTTTTTTAGTAAAATATATTTAAAACAAATCAGAAGAAAAAAAAGAAGAAAAAAAGTTCAAAAATCTGAAAACATATAATATATATGTCAGGAATTAAGAAGATGCATTTTGGTTTGTAGTTTAAGCAATGAAATGCTTGTTATATTTTAAAATTTTTATTTTGGAAATGATTCTATATTGATAAACGACGGTTTGTGGCATAAGTGCGAATTGGCATAAGTACACCAAATTAATTTGCAAATATTGGCATAATTGCGAACTGGCATAAGTGTGAATGCCAATATTCGAAATTTTATTTGGCGCATTTCAGCCAATTCGCACTTATGCCAGTTCGAATTTTTTTAACTGCTTCGCACTTATGCCAGTTCACACTTATGCCAATTCGCACTTATGCCAATGTTTGTAAATTTGTTCGGCGCACTTATGTCAATTCGCACTTACGCCAATGTTTGCAAAATCTTTTGCGCACTTTTGCCGATTCGCACATATGCCAGTTTGCACTTATGCCAATTCGCGCAGCCTCCCTTAAAAAAATGTCTAAAAAAACGCAGTAGATTGTTTTTATACTTATACATAAAAACTAATATATGTAAAGTGTTAAATTTCTCAATATCTATAATCATCATGCTTTTCATTATTGGGGCGGGGTTTACTAACCTATTACCTCAACTTATA